TAATTTATGTTTGTCCAATATAAGGCTGCTTCTGATTTTCTTATTTTTGTCAGAAATCTTGAGGTTTTGACCCTTGGCAAAGGTCAGTTAGCGGAGACCTTTTTTCTAGCGATAACAGATTGCCACTCATTGAAGAGTTTGACTGTCAATGATGCCACTTTTGGTAATGGAATCCAGGAGATCCCAATTTATCATGATAGACTGCGTGATCTTCAGATAGTGAAGTGCCGTGTGCTCCGTGTTTCTATCAGGTGATAATATATGTTAAATTATATTCTTAAATTTCTACCAAATGTGCCAAAGTTTTCTGAATTGCAGTGTTGTTCAGGTGCCCCCAGCTTGAAACCTTGTCTCTGAAGCGCAGTAGTATGCCACATGCTGTTCTCAATTGTCCCCTTTTGCATGACCTTGATATAGGTTCTTGTCACAAGCTTTCAGATGCTGCAATTCGATCAGCAGCAACGTCATGCCCGCTCTTGGAATCCTTGGATATGTCAAACTGTTCTTGTGTTAGTGATGAGACAGTACGTGAAATAGCTAGGGTCTGTGTAAATCTCAGCATCCTTGATGCTTCATACTGCCCGAACATCTCTCTTGAGGTTTAGTTCTTTTGTCTTCTCTTTTACTGGTATATTAATGTGTATTAGCTGGCTGACTTTTTATTTCTCTCTTCAAAGTCTGTGAGACTTCCAATGTTGACAGTCCTTAAGCTTCACAGCTGTGAGGGTATAACATCAGCTTCAATGGCCGCCATATCTTATAGTGACTTGTTAAAGGTTTGAATGTTTTTCTTGAGCACTTCTTTTTTCCCTAACTTTTGTGGTTTATTTAATTGTATACTCTTTGAGGTTGTTGAAATCTAGATTTCTTTTGTGTATTATAGGTTCTTGAGCTGGATAATTGCAGCTTATTGGCATCAGTATCATTGGACCTGCCACATTTGGAGAACATAAGGCTTGTGCATTGTCGCAAGTATATTCTACTCTTTCTACCCCGTTTTCTGAACCTTAACGTCTGCTTTTGCCTGAGAATGATTTTGTATGGTCATGCTTGCAGATTTGTTGATTTAAGTCTCAGAAGCAGTGTGCTGTCATCAATTACAGTTTCAAATTGTCCTGCTCTCCAAAGAATCAATATCACATCTAATAACCTTAAAGTATGTCTTCAATTGAAGGAAATGTTTTCTCCATCTAATGATTATTGTTTTCTTAAAGGAAATGCTTCTCCTTGTTGTAGTTAGATCCGAGGAATAATTATTTCCCCCAGGTAATCATAGGAATAATTTTTTCCCCTAAATCTTTTCTTTCAGAAATTAGTTTTACAGAAGCAAGAAAGCTTGACCTCATTGACATTGCAATGCCCATTCTTGCAAGAAGTAGACCTCACTGAATGTGAATCATTGACAAACTCTATTTGCGAAGTTTTCAGTGATGGAGGTGGCTGCCCTGTATTGAGATCATTAGTCCTGGATAGTTGTGAGGTTTGTCGTTTTAATTCTTTTTTTCTTTTTCTACTCTGTTTCTTTTTTAATTATATTTTCCTGGTATTTTAAAAGAAGATACTTTGCCCCTGTTTGAGCCCCATTTTTTATGGACAGATTTTTAAAAAGTGAATTTGATGAGGATATCTACTTTTTATTTATTTTTAGTTGGACTTTATTTATGTTTTAGATTTTATTTATGTAATTGGGCTTG